ACTGCAAATAGATTTATTAGATTTATTATATGTACACATCTAGCTTGGCATGTACAATTTATTTGTTACATCTCACCTTCATTTATGTATTCATTGTAATATGTCCTATGTGTAATGGAGCGGTATTAACATAAGCGCTTCGCTTGTTTACCACTCCATTTTCACACTTTTGTGAAAATAAATATGTTTAAACCATATCCTTGAACAGTCATCCAATCAAACACTCTCACATCCCAATGTATGCTAAAACGCTAAGTTCAAGATTTGTCTTGGAAGATGTGTATTGGAGTTTTCGTTTATCGTAAGTGCAATATCTAGATAAACCTAATGTAGGTCAAAACATCGGGTATATTTCGTTACTTATTTACCAGTTGCTTATGTGCATTGTTATGTTGATACACGGGACATATTCATATATTGTAGTCAAAATGAGAAATATTGGCGCAACTTCTTGTGCTTCAAATATGGCCCCTTCCTAAACACTTGTTGAAAAATCTGTGTAATAATTTAAGCTTTATAAATATAAACTGATTATTGTGTGGTATAACTGTTGAATGCAAATAACCAAAACTAAACAAACATCTGTAATTATCGGATTGAACTGAAATAATCTTGTCAATTTCGTATTTTCTTCTTGGATCGGCATTTAGAAGTTGGAGTACTAAGTAAGGATAAGAATTTATGGATAAACAACTTCTTTATTACAATTAGTTATAAGAGCGACGTTTCGGCGTCGGTTCTAACACCGTTATCAAACAAGTGATACACAGGGTGTGGTTGACAAGTATCTATACAAGTAGGAAGCAATGTTTATACAGTAGAGTAGATATTGTTAAACTGGAGTAGAGAAGCCTGTTATGTATACACAAGGGTAGTGATGACAATCATCGGTTAAGTCAGTGACATAAACAAAGGATGAAGCCAGTAATATAAATAACGGGATCATGGCTGATTGGGGTCTTTGATGAGTTGATGGTACGCCGGGGGTATGAAATAGCCTTGGTCACGGTTGATTGACGGCTGGAGTCTTTTGATGTTGATGGCTTCTTGTAGTTTCTTGATCTTGAAGTCTTTGAGGTTGGTGGTGAGGGCTGTGACTCTCTCCCACTGGATGCTGTGGCTTGGGTTGTCACGGATGTGGCCTGATAGAGCTGATTTAGAATCCTCTTTGGATGTTTGATGTTCTTTCATTCGGGTTTTGAGGGGCCTAGATGTTTCTCCTATGTAAGCTTGTCCACAATTGAAGGGAATGTGGTACACTGCTCCTGATGGTTCTAGCTTGTGGCTGGATGGTGGTTTCCCTGTGGCTTTAATTGTGTTCTGAATGGTAGGACTTCTTTTGAAAGCTACATCAATGTTGGCCTGTTTCTTTAAGAGTCTCTGGATTTTGTGGCTAACTGTTCCAAAGTAGGAGAGGCTGATCACAAAGGGTGCAGACTGTTGACGTGTCTCATGTACACATGACCATGTGCTTTGCTATTTATAGCGCAACCGTAAATAAGCTCCGCCCACTGTGATAGATGCAGACGCCAAACACGATCGATTCGATTCTTTATGATAAAACTACAGAAACTGTATTGACTTATATCTAGATATGGAGCCATTTGTGGTGTCCAGGGTTTGTGATTCAAGTTGATACGAAGTTTGACGGTCAATCGTGATCTTGTTTGCGTACGGTTTTCAAAAAGCTTCCCCCGGCACTCGGTTGTGTTTAAATTGTCAGTCACTGTTCGAAACTTAAACACCGCCACCTTGCGGTGTTTTATAGTCAGGGTGGGGCTTTAATCACCATTCAATGATCGGCCAATTGATCAGTGATGACAAAGACATGTAACCACTACAGGTTCATTAACAACTTCCGAAATCTCTCCCGTCACGTTTATCGTATCGGCCATTTTGACGTCTTGTACTTGATGTAAATGTATTACGACGCGCTGTCATTGTGACTGATTTACCGAGGTAGTTCTTAACAGACCTTTCTCATCTAATAAGGATATTATTTGAGTACATTTGTTACAGAAACTACAAAAGTTGTCCCTGTTGCGCATGTTGAGCATACATAAGCTCATGTCACCTCTCGTTTTGAAGAATTATTTTATTCCGCGATACAGCTGTTTGTTGTACGGCTGTCAGTGTAAACATGAAGTCACACATACTAATATAATTGTGTATAGATCAAGGTGTACGTCCTTTAAGGTAAAAATAGTGATATAAAAGAGTATAAGAAGTTACAGTAGCGGGTGACCTCGCCTTGGTGAGCACTACCAAGCTGACTGGCGTTCATTTCCCGATGAACGTCAGTATGTCATGTGATTACGTTGTCAATCGAGCGGAGACATACAGAACTACTTCAGGGGAATTCCTCAATGTCTTAAAATAACGTCAAATAGGGAAGGAATCATCATATGACAATTTCTTTTAGATTATGAACATTTCATCAAAACTAATGCCATAATCTTAATTTTCAAATAAAGAATGAATTTTCATCTTTTTATAATATATTGTTATCACAAACATCCGTTTGCTTGTATCGAACGCGTCTCGTGCGTTGAGCGAACCCCACTGGCCCATGACATCACTGATACCAGAACTATGGCGAAAGCTGATCAGGACGATTGTTTTTAATGTCCATTCAAAGCTATAACAGAGAATGCTCGACTTACCAAAAGAAATCACTGAGCTCCACACTGTCGTTTATTGCTTCGGGAAATCCAACCGCGCCGCCTCAAGCGGTAATCCCCGTCATCAGCAGCCGTAGTATGAATCAAACACACACCCAAAGTTCACAGAACGTTAATATCAATCCATTTTCAGCATCAGCCGGGTCTGGATTTTCTTCCAACTCTAACTTTACTGGGTGCAACTTTTATTTCAAGTGAATGACATTGCCGTAGCCGCCAATCAATTTACCATGATTTGCTCATGTGAGGCACTGTCTTCATCAGCTGATGAACGTCAACAAATACAACCTGACTGCTGGCACACTACTGCAGGTGCATGCCGTTGTTGTGATGTGCAAGGCTGTACCTACCTACCCACGGGTCTGCCTGTTACTTCCAGGCCATCTTCCCGAGGCAAGAGCGGTAATTAACTATATAAGTCCATTTCCATCCTTGACGAATTGGGCTGGAATTCCTGAGTTACATTTTGGCTTGACGAATGAGTCTATGCATAGTCCAATCAAAATCGTGAGACGAACTAGACATCCGGTTCGCAAAGAATGTGGATTTCTATCGACTGCAGGATTTTGCAAATATTTTCATGTTTTTAATCAAGGTGCTCAAGTTCGTAAAGGGTGGAAAACGGACTTTAATAGTCACTTAACGCCCTTGCCTCGGGAAGATGCTTCCAGACAGGAAAGAGGAGATCTACACTCGTGCACATTAATTCAATTAAACGATAGCAAAATGCATATGTCTTGTTTTCTTCACACATCACCGAACTGTCTAAAGTACTTGGTGCAATGTTGCTCAACCGACACCGAACTTTCGAAAATAGTTGAGTGTATAATCCCATGACCAGCACTGAACTGTCGAATATATAAACTATCTCTATTTTAGATTTCGACACTTCGGGGCGAATGTTCTGGTTAATAAGCACTAATTGGCTACAAGGATCAATCGCGGATCTCTATAACGGCACGGATTGAGGGGGAGGGGTGGATTGGACACGCGCTCCTAAAATTGAAAAAGAAAATATTTTGCAATGTTAAAATTATATAATAGATGATAAATCAAGGTTGGTTGACACACCCCTACCAGCCATATACCTTGACATATATGGAACCCATGTCGGTATTATATACAAACACAGGTGACACAACTACTGAAACGGTCGCGTATATTCTGTACCGCCTGGTTTGTAATACCCAATCAGCTTGCAGGCCTAGCCGGTGTCACGAAATATATTCGCCCCCAGAATAAAATCGCCCCCCGGCGAATTTATACCGGTACAGCTTATATAATTTCTGATTATCATTCTTAGTTTTACTTTTTCTCTTTTGCTGCGGTGATATCCATCCGAATCCAGGACCTTTGCATAGTCCAGATTTAAGGATTATACATCTAAACGTACGCAGTCTTAAAGACAAAGTAGATTTAATCAGTGCTGAATTAGATAGTTATGATGTTGTATGTTTAAAGCAAGGACTGGTCGGCTCGGAGTCAGTATACTGTGTCTGAGTGGGGTATCCATGTTAAACTGCGGCATGGTATCTCAGTGTGCTAGCACTATAAATCGGCATCAGTCCGGACTAGTACAAATACGAAATGCGAAATACGCACGTTAAATCTCCTACATCAGTCAGACTAGTACAAGCAGCCACACACACGCACACGCGTGCATGCACGTCTCTATAGAGGTGCAATAATCTTGGACGCGACGTTAAACCCAATTTCACCTCACCTCACTTACAATGATACCATTTTCAAATCGTAGCCTGTATTAAGGAATATATTTTAGATCTTAAATCAGAGTATAACGGACAGCCTGAGCTGGAGGCGCACGTGGATATGTTGACAGTTTTTACGTAGTTAGTGTTAAAACCGAATGTTTGCGAGGATTAATAAGATTTCTGAATTTCAGTTACGACAGTAACCGTACATGTATTTGTCACATTAAGTCATTTCATTCAAATGTGTTTGGTATGATTATGTCTTATAATTATTTTAGGATGGAAGGTACAGTTACCAAATAAAATATGCTGAAATATCAATTCATTATGACCATATTTCATAATCTATTTTTTAAAGTAACCCTCCTTACATTAAAGATAACTATTTAAAGAATATAGTACCTAAAGACATTGCAACAAACCGAATAATCAGAGGGGAGACTTTATACTGAGGGGGGCGCGAAATATATCCGCCCGGGGTAGATTTTATTTCAGAACAGATTCTCCGGGGGAGAATCTGTACCGGTATAAAATCTCCGGGGATTTTTCTATTGTTAAAGTTAAATAAACATAATCCAACATGATTTGAAGACAGAAAGCACTTTGCTCCACCAAACAATTTATTTTCACTTCGAAAGTTTGAAAATACATAGTCAATTGATATATGATCTTTGACAGGCAACTATTTTGCCATAATTGATACACTTTCTGTAAATGTGGACTTAAATGTTTGTTACATGATCTCAACTCAAATGTTCTCAATGCCATCTTTATGTTTGGTTATTCAGTGTGGTGTGGTGTGGACACCCGTAGCGTTATCTCGAAGTTTGAAAGACTTGTTTGAAAGTAATTGTGGTGGAGTTCAGGATCCCCTGTTGATATGTCCTCTGAAAATCAAAATAAATATTTTATATACAAGCATCAGGGTGGCACTGTAGCTCACCTGGATTGAGTTGAAATAATTGCGCCAGGTTAAAGTCGGTGAGGATTTTATGAGCAGTTTTAGATACACCATAGGTGGGATCATTCATACAAAGTTTCACCGTTTTCAGCCTTGTAGTTTCAGTCGGAATGTTACACAATAAAAAGTGTGATTTTATCGACAAAATTAAATTGACCCCGAAAATTATTGAAAAAATAATTATGCTTCAGACTGCTGAAAAAAGAAAGAAAAACACCGAATATACATTGTTGCAAGGCGTTTTTCTTTAAAACAATTCCGGCCAACGCCCCGTCATTCCACACAAGGAGTTAGTCAGTGACACCCGTACATGTGTAATACACTGATTCTCTCGTTGTCACCCATACCGATCTTGTAAGAAAATTCCCCATGATCAGTGAGGCCATTCTTAGTTCTAATTTGTATGCTAATACCGTAAAGGCCAAATAAGAATTCTGAAAGAAAAAAAAACATAACGAAAGAGTCAATAAATAAAAAAATGAAGGCAATTTGGTCAAGCATAATATGAGGATGAATTATGTGTAGGCTGACAGTTAAATAATAAGCATATGAAAAAATGAAAGATTTGGATAAACCTAATTCAATTGTTTGATAGGCATTACATAGAAGTTGAGGGATGACTTTGTGTCTACTTTGTAATTCCGATGTAAGAAAACGTTGGGTTCGGCGGGAGGGGTAAGGCGGCGATTGTTGGCCGTGTTGTGGTGGTACGTGCTCGAAGTGAATGGCCTTGGCCTTGGTCTTGGCGGTGGGGCTGGATAAAGGAGTTGTTAGATTTAGCGTGGCTGGTTGAACTGTAATTTAGACGCGGACGCCGCACGATTTCGATCCCCATCAGAATTGCAGAAATGTTTGTTTAGCGTGGTTTGTTTTAAAAGAGAGTTTTGTTTGGGATGGTTTGCAGATTACTGCTTTTAATGAAAGTTGAGAAGACTGCAGGTGAATTAGATTGTGCTTAAAGTGAGAAGGTGCAGATTGTTTGTTTGTTTGTTGTTTAACGCCGAACTCAGCAATATTCCAGCTATGTGACGGCGGTCTGTAAATAATCGAGTCTGGACCAGACAACCCAGTGATTGACAGCATGAACATCGATCCACGCAATTGGGATACGATGACATGCATCAACAAAGTCAGCGAGCCTGACCATCTGATCCCGTTAGTCGCCTCTTACGACGAGCATAGTCGCATTTTACGGCAAGCATGGGTTGCTGAAGACCTATTCCATCCCGGATCTTCTCGGGTCAGGTCGAATTCACAGAGTGCAGTTTGATGAGAGTGAAAAAAGATACTGTCAATATGGTTACCAAGCTCGCTCTGTTTAACTCTATAAATCAATATCTTATTCATGTGTAGCCTTAGGTTATGAAAGTAATTCATTTGTTACAAAACCAAAAAGTAAAATAATTTCCCGCACGCCTTCTCAGGCTTGTGTTGCATTAAATAGAGTGAGTGAGTGAGTGAGTTGGGGTTAACGTCGCTTTTAACAGTATTCCAGTTATATCACGGCGTGTCAGCTTAATGTGGGAGGAAAGCTCGAAGTGATGCAGGTCTCAGACGTTTACCACTTCGATGAAAGCATTAAATAGATACGTTGTTTGACAGAACATCATGTCAGCAGTGTGAATTGTATGAATAGGAGATGATCCAGAGACATATCCCATATGATCAAATTTTTCTATAGTCTTCATCAAATCACAAAAATAGTTAGTCTGATTTACGAAGCAAAAATGTCAAAAGAATCCTACTAAAAACCTTGAAGTGAAATTATTCTAACGTTTACCTGTATTAACCTTGACAGCAGGTGAATTGACCATCTAACGTGGGATAACGAAAATAATGTCCCGTACGCTTTAACTGGATTTGCTTTCCAATACGTTGCTTGACAGGACATGTCAGCAGTACGAATAGTATGAACATGGGACTGATCCAGAGCCATATTGTCTATCGTCTTTGTCGAATCACAAAAATATTGAAGTAAGTCTGATTTACGAAGCGAAATTTGTTAAATGGATCTTACAATAAACCTTTACATGAAGTGTATTCCATACCTGTATTAACCTGTACAGCAGGTGTATTGACCATCAAACGAGGAATCCTCGAGCATGGTACACGTTTCGGGCAGCGTTGAAGCACCGCATTCTGAGGCCACTATGTCGTTGCGGACACACCGTTGTGTGCAAGGGGTCTCTGAGAATGAAGACCGTACAAACAATTTTACAACTCTCAGCTTTAACTAAATTAAACTTTCAATCTCCTGACAGTAACATCATTTTGTTTGTTTGTTGTTTAACGCCGCACTCAGCAATATTCAAACTATATGACGGCGATCTGTAAATAATCGAGTCTGAACCAGACAGTCCGGGGACTGAAATGAGCATGGATCTACGCAATTGGAATATAGTGACATGCATCAACCAAGTCAGCGAGCAGGACCACCCGATCCGGTTAGTCGCCTCTTACGACAAGCATAGTCGCCTTTTACGGCAAGAATGGGTTGCTGAAGACCTGTTCTACCCCGGATCTACACGAGCCGACTGTAATATCAAGTTATCTCTCAAAGGAAGCACGTTCTATTGTTAAATACACCTACCAATCTGCAATACAAAACAGAATGAAACAAATTCGTGCGACCTTCATTGCATTAGTCCAAATACGCAGAGTTTTATATACTTTAGCAGCAGCAACATCCCTCTAGTACGACACTGAGACACTCTATGTAATCACATATAATGTGATGTATCGATGACCGGCCAAACACAAGCACGTCCATGTTTCAGAGAATATCGACGATCAAACACGATGCACAGAATTGGAAGCGCCAAGAGGATGTGAAAATACTTACTGCAGCATAATATTGTTTTAAAATAAAACCACTAGTCTCACACTTTCTCGCTTGTTTCTCCAAGTACTTACTACTGCAAATACCTTCTCAGGGATGAGAAGGAGAGCACAAAACGTATTTGTTCTATTATGAAAAACTGCCTTCAAATGCTTGGCAGCTTGAACCTTCCAATAACAATCTTTGACTATTTCAGTTAATAGGAATACCAGTAAACATTCAATTTTCTGACTGTAAAACCAAGCTTCCTCTCAAAGGAAGTACTCTCTATTTACCATTTAGTGCCATATGAGATCGATCGGCAATGCATTGTCCAAATAAGCTGTCTTTAATACACGACACGAAAAGACGGATTTTACACCTTTTAAACAAAGCAAATTCAGAAGGAAATGCATGCAATGACCTGATTTGCGAATACTTCCCACAATCACCATTATCACGAATGCTGTGAGAGCAGCAATGCCATGGCTATTTGTATAGTTACATGATGAACAAATAATTATGTATCGAACGCAAGAGCTTCCACGTTCCAAATCTATACGATCAAACAAACGCTCTAATTGTACAGAAATTAAAAAAAGGTTTATTACGAAACGTTTTAGAGGCGACTCTTGGCAGTGTTGATCCTTCAGTTACAGATTCGCAGTTCTGCGTCGTTGACGACATTGGAATTGAGCACACCAACAGCAAGAAGATAACCACGAGAGACATCACCTTGGATCCTAAGGATACAGTGGATACAAATAAGCGACATTGATGTGTAGAATATATTCGTCAACATTTAAACACTGGATGCGGCCATTGCTAATAGCACGCATGAAAACAGATATAAGGTACCATTTAGTAAAAGAGTTTGATTTATAGTACAGGGCCTGAATTGTATTATATTTTCATTAACAGGCTTAGTGCCTTCGACGTCTGACTTTTCACTTTTCCGCCGTTCTGTATTGTTACACAGGCCTGATAAACTAGGTGACCAGTAAGTTTTATTTACTTCTATTATAGTGAGTGAGTGAGTTTGGTTTTACGCCGCTTTTAGCAATATTCCAGCAATATCGGGACACCGGAAATGGGCTTCACACATTGTACCCCATGTCGGGAATCGAACCCGGGTCTTCGGCGTGAGGAGCGAACGCTTTAACCACTAGGCTACCCGACCGCCCCATTCTTTTATAGCCGTGAACGGCCATTGTTTAATAACACTGGACATCTATGAGCGCTTGGACGATGGGATGACGTTGCTATGCTATGGAACTGTGAAGCAATGTAATGAAAAGTGAAAAAACTACGAAACAATAAATGTCCAGGCATTATCTGTTGTCTGTTAGATAATGAGCGCCAAAGCTTATTTCATTTCAATTCTATTATTACCTATATTGTCGTATGATTGCTTTTGTTAGACTCTAAATGTTGTGATTATAATATACAAACTGAACCGTTCAGCTAAAAGAAATGTAACCGCCAGCGGCTCTAAATTTTGGTTTACTTACTGTTAATTCTGTTTATCGAATAATGTTGGGTTTTAACGGCGTTTGTAACGTCGGAACTGTTTTTCGGAATTTTATGATTATAATGTGTACTTATATTGCATCAGCCTCCATACACGAGGTGCATGGTCAAAGCGCTAACAGTATTTTCCTGGTCAATGGGTCAGTGTGCACTCAGATTAGATATTTTCTGGGTTTTTACGATGGACACATTGATAACTATCTTAATTTTGAGGCAGGAGAAACGTGTTTTCTTTCAATCAATCAGTCAAGCAGTCGTTTTGTCAAGTCATCTTTTGCTCAGTGTCAAAGCTCTTCAAATTCTTGATGAATTAGTTCATTTATCTTTGATTTGTTTGTTTGTTTGTTTGTTTACCGCCTCACTCAGCAATATTCCAGCTATATGACGGCGGTCAGTAGAAAATCGAGTCGTGACCAGACAACCCAGTGATTGACATCATGAGCATCGATCCACGCAATTGGGATACGATGACATACATCAACCAAGTCAGCGAGCGAGTTCCTGCACACTACATTCATTAACTGGAGCAGGTACCTGCAACACACTGCCATCGTTTGAATAAGTCTAACAGTTTAATGTATTTGCTCTTTTCTCACGCGGGTGTTTTTTTTCGAGAATAAATAGTTGAGTAAGTGAGTGAATATTTACAATATTAGCAATCTTGTAACTATTCGTGACGAAGAATTAACAGTTGGTGTTGACACTAGCGCCGGCACAATGATAATGTAATCAGAACTGATTAATTCGAAACTTGTTTCAAGCTAGTTGAATATATGCACCAGTAATACGACTTAACCCTGAAAAGTGAAGGCTGTGCGAGAATTGCGCTCACGCGGCACTGGATCTACCTCTGGCTATAAAATTACGCAGAGGTGGAGAATGTTAAATTTCCTATTTGATGGTGTAAATTTAACTGCAAATATTAAACCGGTTTAAAAAAAGGACACTTCTAAGTGTTGTCCGAGAATTAATTCTGCGTTGAAAAACAGTAAACTTCTTCGCTTTTTATCGTACACCGATAAAAGTACTGTGCGACGATTTTGTTTATTTAGAAGTTTTACGGAAACTGTGAGCGAACAAAATACTGCCTAATATCTGAACGACATAACTATATATGAAATGGAGTTATATGCGTATGTATAAGGACATACGTTCAATGCCAAAAATAGCATGCTGAAAATGACGAAAACTGATTTTTTTTCTCTATGACGTAAAAAGGCGACAGAGAGGTTACACACGTACAAAGAAAAGGGGGCATAACTCCGCTATGCTTAGCACTAGTTTATTGTAACTCGGGTCACTTGGTGAGAATTTGCTGTGTACAATATATTTTCGTGGTGTTTTGTTCACGAGGAACTAAACTATTCCGACGCAAATATCGATATTGAAACTGTATACGTTTAGTTATAAAAAAAACAAAAACATAAGAAAGGATGAAATCGTACTTGGTCAAAAAGAGGTAATAGAGAAATGGATGGCACTTTCTAACCTATAACTTAGTCCTTAGATTCCAACATTCTCCTGAATGTGTAAGTGTAATTTGACTAATGTTGCACCATTATTAATGGAACACAAGCCTTATCAAATGTAATAGAATACCCAAAAAATTAACACCATTCTATTTGACGTCATGGCTGATTTTATATCTTTGGTAACGTCGGAGAAAGACGACACTGATATTTTGATTAATATATATCTCCCCTAATTTTCGTTCATGGTATGGGAAATCTCGATGTGTAGAACTGAATTTGACGCTTTTTCGACACGACATAAAATGACTGCTTTCACCAAGTAAATAATGTATTGGATATATAAACAATTAGATCATTTATCGTATATCTTAATTGGACAGGACACGCACCTGTTTGGCATCAATTTACGTAATAAAATACCTAAAAGTCTATTTCAAAACAACCAAAATTATATTCAATATTGGACATATATTTGTTCATTATTATGTAATTGTTTCTCTTCATCTCATCTCTGAATTACACAATAAAAGATGCGAAGAAAGCTCTATTGGTATAGAATTATCAGGATAATCGTATAAGGTTGAACCAATGGGGTACATGACATGGGTTTTATTTTTTAACTTTTTACAATTCCTGGAGAAATAAAGTAAACAGTTCAATATCCTGTGATCACAATATGGAAAAAAGAATGAACCCATTGATTATATAATGCAAAACGAGAGGAATAATTCGTAAATTGTTTGTGACTAACGCGCACCTGGCGAAAAGTTAAATATCACTGTTCTGTGTATCAAACATGTCAAACGACATAAAAATAAACAATTCCAAGATCAAGACAATTCTTTCAGAAATGTGTGTGTAGCGGCCATAAAATTTCCGAGTCACGTGATGGGATTCGAACCACGGACCTTCTGATCCAAGGTGGGACGCCTTGTCCACATGACCAAAGAGGTTAACTCCGTCAGCTAGCTGACAAGGTAAGGATGTCATCTGTCGGGTGACTCCACGCCCTGCTACATACTCCCTCGTCAACGGAAGGCACGTCCCGGGCCGCATAGTAGGGCACTGAGGCTTATTTTGCTCAAATTTAATATGAAAGTGCTCAGCCCCACGTTGGGCGCCAAATTTGTAGCCGGGGTGGTGTGTATGATCTTGCTCGGGCCGTTGGAGAAAACAGACAGAGGAAGATGATGATAATGTGTTTATTATAATGGGGGTGGCTGCTGTTGAAGAAATATCTCAAGAAAAGAAAATATCCTTCCTCCTCAACAGCAGCAAATGAAGTCATATATTTGCAGATTTACAGGTATTTATCTTAAATATAGAAGTACAAAAGCCATTTTGTAACCATAATAAAACTAACTTTAATGTTAAATTTAACTACAATCAGTTGACTATAGGACACTTGAAAAGCACATGGGCCAAAATGAACCATGTGGTTAATTATTTTACAAAGTAGTTTTATAATATTAATATTCCATTTAAAAATTTAATATTACTTTAAATGGTACTATATATTTTATTCAATTTAACTCAGCACCCTTATATAGATATCAATTTCTGACAGAAGCAGATGAAAACAGATTGAAAAGGGGCCATTCAATACCTGAAGAAAAGAAAATATCCTTCCTCCTCAACAGCAGCACATGAAGTGAGGAGGAAGTCAGGTATGGAAGGAAGCTACCTGTAGAGGACCAGGGTGGCCAATTAGAAGACAGATTACATTAAGCATCAAAGGAAGTGCTTTCGTGGACATTGGTATACGAACTTATAATATTGACTATTGTACATCCCAAGAAAAACGCACATGCTGCAGTTACATTTACATTTCATCTGGTAACACTTGTCCAAAGGAAAGAAATACCGTATTCGACACTATATAAACCTATCAATTTTTATGTAAACAATGTTCAAACAAACAGGAGATTATCAAAGGTTCGTTCATACATGTTCATTTTGAACATTGACAAATATCCAAAGTGAAATTAATTATGTGAAAAAATATATAAAAGTTATGCAAAATGTACATCATAACTGAAACTGTAAACAGCATGATACAATGATCGTGTGCACTCTCATTCAAGGACCTTCACCTAAAAAAAATTACCAAATATGTACAACAATGTTGACGTATGACTCCACTACCGGTGACCGACTTTTACAAAATGGTGTGTTCAATGTACAACAGTACGCGGGATTGTACGAGGGGACTTTCATTGATTCAGCGATCGTATATACATAAATGTGACATGTAAGTAATCAGAAACAATCTGACAATGTATGTACTGTTATTTGTTGTTATATTTTTCATTGAAACTAACGGCAATAGTCAGAAATTCCGATAAATACCGTTGTCGTTGTGCGTGATTTTGCGTCAGTCATGGCGTCACACAGGACGGTAACTTTTCACAATTTCTGTTGAAAATATCAAATCATTGCAATGGATCTATTTTAAATTCCCTAATTCTTCCTATGATTCTCTTCCCATGCATATTCTGAAAAGGTTGAGTCAATATCTTGAACGAATAGACAAATGGAATGCTACACAGTGTAAAATCTGAATTTTGCTTTGTTTACATTTCAAACAAGTGCAGTTTCTCGAGCACAGCGTTCGTTTTCACACCTAACTTATTTTGCTTGATTTCATCTAGGCAATTTGCATTGGTGACAAAGACCATTAGTCATTTGATTCTAAAATGTATGAGGAATTCAAGGATGTATGTAGATCTATAGCAGCTAAG